CTGGGAGTGGGGTGCCCCCGAGTTCCCCAGCAAGCTCCGCTGCCGCCATCCTCAGTGGGCGGCGCCAGCCCGACGCAGGCAGCTGCCCAGCTGGGAGCCAGGGAGCGGGGGCAGTGCCCTCCTCCCTTCTCTGCTCGCTCCTGGGCAAAGCACCTTTTCCGGTTCCTTTGTCCTGACTTATAGGGCAATTCACAGAGGCGCCCTATTGGCTCAACCCCGAGGGGGATGGCAGTCTGATCTGGTGGCCAGAACTAAGCCTAACCCGGTTCCAAAACCGGGGAGGTCACAGGGAGCAAAACCCCTCTCCTGCCACCAGAACCTCCACCCCCTCCACATCAAACCATGACACTCAGTTCACAATTTCCTCTCATCATCATAAACCTTAATAAAAACAGTGCATCTTTCACAAAACACTGCACCTAGAAGTCTTGGAGATTTGATGATCGAGCTGTAAAACTAAACAACAAATCAATTTTAAGTATCCATGGAGAAATACACTCAACTGCGTACTATAAGTGTATTGGCCTTCTTTAATCTGAGATAATTAGCATAATTGCATCAGTGTTTGTTTACACTTCATGATAAGGAGCTCCAGGACATAATTAATCTGGTACTGATGGAACTAGCAATGGTCATAGTGAATTAATCTACTATCCACGTAAATGTCATACATACTTCCATGGGAGTTCTGTTGTAGCTCAATATTGGTGAAATGTGCTATTAAAATAAAGCCTTACTTGGTCTGTGGTGCCATTAAAATGTCATTGAAAGTTAGTCACTAATTCTGAAGAGTCCCTACACTTCATAAGGAGATCATCTTAGCAAGATGATTATAGATATGTACTTGTTTTATTAGAGCAATAATTGGAAATGCAGCGTAGTTGAACACGGATTAAATGATGACAGTTACGTGTAGTTCTGTGTTCTTCCCTGGCTTCCACTGCACTCAGTGTGCTTTCCATTGCACTGGCAGTGATACGAGATTGTCAAGTAGTGATTGACAAATGTAAGTCATGGTGTTCACAGCCTTGTCCTGAATAGTTATCCACTGCGACAGGCTCAAACCTGGCAGTCCAGCAGAGTTAAATCATCAGCCTTCTGAATGGTAGTGATAACGTCACAGCAGGCAATCTAATAAATAACTCAAGGTGGCTTGTTACCATCTGCCATAATTGTGCTGTTAAGAATGGATGAACTACTTTTCCACTGACGTAAAATGCAAATCATTTTTGAATATAAAGACCTAAAGCCAATCTGTTATGTCCATCATGTGTGGCCCTCCTGGTTTTAATCTTGGAAATTCCCCTGATGCATAGCATCATCTTCACACTTAATAGAAATCAGTGTAGCTCTGAATCCTTGAAGGTGTAAGTATTAATACTTGCTGCCTGCCTGATTGAAAGGAGAATGATTATACTGTTCTGACTGAGCGGTTTCATATGAGATCATGATACATTTTGCAGAGTGATAGATGAAACAGTAGCAAATAAACCAACTTCAGTTTTATTTAAGTGAGAAGCCAGTTTGGATCTCCAAGGAAGTGTCCTTTGTTACAGGGGGTTTGAACACTTCTGAATGGTCTTTATTTATTCCAACAAGACAGTATGAGAAATCATAACTGATTCCATTTCCTGACAATGAAACAATAACTTTTGGAAAAACAAAGCTAAAACATGCAACATTCAACCAGCATGCTCAGGAGCTAAAACTGGTGTTCCCACGGCATGTTAATCTTGGTGGTACTGGGGCTACTTTAAAGCAGTTCCTCAGGCCAGATCCTTCCCACCTGTGTGAAGATGCCTAGTCTTAAGGGAAGTGGGGAAACACTGAGGGTTTGGGGCTTGTTCAGCCTTGCAGAAGAGAGGGCTTCGAGGAGTTACCTGCAAGGAGGTTCTCAAAAGGACAGAGCCAGGGTCTTCACAGCAAGTGCATGGCAGGAGGATGAGAGACAACAGGCAGAAGCTGAAATGAGTGATTCAGACTGGATAAAAGGAAAATCTTCTTCACACTGAGGATGGGCAGGCAGTGGAGCAGAGAGGCTGTGTAGTCTCCATCCTTAGAGGTTTCAAGACCAGCCTGGGCAAAGTCCTGAGCAACTTGATCTGATCTCACAGCTTGAGCCTGGTTTGAGCAGGATTTGAACTAGAGACCTCTGAGCTCCCTTCTAGCCTGAATCACCCCACGATCCTAAGTGCCCCTTTCAGATGCTTATGAGGCATTCACACCCAACCAGGAAAAGCTGGTGACCTTACCCATCAGGGTGAACACTGACAGACAATATAGGATTCCTTCCACCAACTTTAGATACCTGGGAGGTGGACATCTGATTTAGATAAATAGACTCCCTTCATCATTAGTCACAATAAACAGGCATGACACAAACTGTACTATGCTAAAGCTGATGTCTAAAAGAGATTAGACAGTCTGCACTCTAAAATTTCCCAATCTCTTCATTGGGACACAAGCCTCAGTATGTGTCCAGAGTCAGGTGTAATGAATCTCACCTACATCTGCCTTCATGCAGATTAAGCCTTCAGTTCAAGACAACACCAGCATATCTGAAAGCAGACAGTTATGAATGATGAGCTTCTCGGTCTAACACAGACCAGCTGATCAGCAGATTGTTACAGAAGCACTTCCTAACTTAGCAGGTTGCTTCCTTCCAGTGCCTACTACAGGCAATTGGTACTGGTGACTCATTGCCTGGTAAGACACAGGTCCCACCACCTGGGACTGCAGCACTGGTGGCAATTCTCAAGGCTGCTGTTTAGCACTGCGGGGGTACCCAAAGAAGCTGAGGCTCCAAGTCTTTGATTTAAAGCACATGTTTAGTCTGAAACTGGCCCTCTAATAAGCAATACCTGTAAATCATATTGCATTTATTGTTATTTCCAGTTTGCTTATTGTCACCAATAAATGCCATCTAGCTGGTGGGTATTACATGTATTTTAAAGATGTAAATAAAATGCCACTTTACATTCACCTCTGATAGGACAGCTAAAGTTTAAGCAGTTTTCCACTGGAACTGAAATGCCCTTTGGAAAAAGCAGCCTTTGAAGTGCACGTAGTTGGCTGCCAAAGAATGTAAACACCAAGGCAGTATGATAAAATTATACCGTTAGTTGAGAGCATAACCCAGCAAAGCACCTGAGTATGTGTGTTAAATCCAGGCTGACTAGCAGGGGTTCAGTGGATCCGCTGGTGATTTGCAGGCAGTGCTTTGAGAATACTGACTTCGGGCCAGAATGGCTTTTGCAGCTGACCTGTTCTTGACGTAAAACCTGGAAGAAAAGCTGACTTAATGCTCATGTATGCAAACGATTTCTCATTGATCAAAACTACGCTTCGTTTGATGCAATCCTTTGCCTACTACAGAAGATTTGCAGTTTGCATAAAGCAACTCTTTCAAACACTGCCTAAGGCAGGTTCTGTTGTTACCCATATACAAATGCACACTGCAAAGGTTTGCTACTTGTTAGTAAAAGCAGTTCTTACCATGGTTATCCATACTCTGAATATAAATTCAAATTCATTATCACGCCATAACGATTGATATGCAGACACTGACATTTTGTGACTGCTGTATTTGTTTCAGATGACACTTCACTTCACTTCAGATGCTTCTAAGGGACTCAAACTATCCCATCTGATTTTGTCCTTTAGATAGCTTTTCTAAAGAGTTTTTAACTAAGTGAATCCACAAGCAGATACAAATCATACAGGATATTTTTTTCCCCTTCCAATCCCTTTCAGGACTTTGGCAATCAGATTTTCTGCAATTTTTTAACAACATGCTCTGAAGAGCTGACGTGAGTCTAAATTTAGGCTTGTGCACGTATCAGCTGGGAATTCTGCAGCATACGGCAGCCTAAGAAATATCATTTGCATGAGAGCAGATGAGTGAAGTGGTTGCTGTTTTTTTCAGTTCATATTGATTAATTTGCCTTGGGATTTATCAAGTAATAACTGAAGCGATGAATTCTTTCCCAGTAAGTTATTTAGGTTTTTAAATGAAATTAGATTTTGACTGTAATGTATTTTTATTATATTAATGTCTAACAATCTAATTTGTGTGAGGCACTCTGTAAACATGTAGCAAGAAATAGTCTCAGCTCAGAAAGCTTTATTAAGGAAGGCAGACAAAAAGTGACAGAGGAACAGAGGTGCAAAACTGTGAAGTGATTTGTCGGATTTGGTGGCAAAATAGGGCTAAGACCTCTGTCACTTGAGTGCTGTCCTCATGCTTTCATTCATTGGCTCATTAACTCCTCTGCAAATACTTTTGCATTCATTTTTTGGGTCCGTTCCCAGAAAATATTATGTGCTTCATCAAACTCAGTTGGTGTTGGGGACATCCACCTCCTTAAGAGACTAAATTTAATGTGTCCAAATGCATCATTTCATCCAAATTTATGTTGGACATGAGGCATTTACTAGTAGAACAAGACACTGACTTAAGAAAGCACTGCTTTTATGGGGACCTTAGAGGATCTCGTGTTCACTGCTGATATGGTTTTCACAGGTTTTCATATATATTTAAAATGATGCTCTTAGTCTTACTCTCTCTATATGTATATCATAATATGAATCCATGTTTCTTTAAAGAAACATTCTTCATCCTTTTCTAAAAACGCAGCCACCTTCTTCCCAGCACGAGTCATTTCTGCGGGCTATGGAAGGTCACTTACTTTGCTGCTTGTTTCTCTTCCGCAGGCTTGTTATACGTTGGCTTTAGTGCCTGTATGTTTGGCCTCTACAGCTTTATGCCAGTGGTCATAAAGAAAACCAGTGCTACTGCCGTCAACCTCTCCCTGCTCACGGCTGACCTGTACAGCCTCTTCTGTGGATTATTCCTCTTCCACTACAAGGTATGTGGAAATGAGAGATGTGTTTGAGTAATAGCCATATGCCTAAAGAAACATCAGTGCAGAACCATGAAGCAAAAGAAGCCTCCAAGCTTTGTTAGATCTACACAGTAAAAGTGCAGGGTTTTTTTATACTTGAGGCTTCCCACACCAGAACCAGTTTTATTTTATGATTTCCAGTTATTCGAGAGAGCTCATTTGGTCTTCATGTTACTAGTTTTAAGATTTGAGTACCTGTTCATCAGCAACTGTATCATTAATTTCATTTTACTTCTCAGAGGTAACTTTCAGCTGCTGTGACCAGACCCAAGGTGGCAGCATAAAGGGAAGGACTTTTCCAAAAATTCCATAGAATTTTTTTGCCCGGTAACGAGTTTGTTGCATTCATGCTGATTCTGAATTTATGATTCATAATTGTCCATGAATTACACCTTTCTTGTCAGCCAGACCAATGCTTGCGTGTTAATTAAAATGCCAAATGTGCAGCAGATTTGTGTTGAAGTTAAGGTTTTATCTCTCATGTCATCTAATATTTAAAACATAGTGTGGTACAGACACACATTTGGTCTCCAACTGCAAGGAATAGCGCTTCATTATTCACAAGTATCTCCCCAAGTGTCCGTCATATGAAATTGGCATCAGGGTGCAGGAGGCGTTTGCTTTGCACCATCATTTATATTCGTAAGAGGGAGGTTACTTGGTAGCTAAGATGGTGGCCCGTTGAAGTGTCAGGTAAATGAAAGTCTTAGAATACTGAGTAGCTACCCAACTCAAATCAGATTTTGTGATACTAGTGGTACCTGAATGAATCTGAATGAGACAGTAGAAGTTCAAAGCTTCAGAATCCAACACAAAATTGTTTTTCCCTATTGCCTTTTGTTTTGTTTTTATGGCTTTGAGAATTTTGCAGACAGAAGAAAAGCAAGTACAGAAACAAGTATTTGAGAACACAAAGTAAAGGTTGTCTGCTGCTTTGCAGGTCTGTCTCATGGTGATTCGCTTCCTCGTTCTTTCTGCCCCACACTTCAAATCCGAAGTATCCGACACTAGGTATTAGCTGAAAATTGTTATCCTCTGTTAATAACATTATTTGATACCCATAGCAAAATATATTTAGTGATGTTAGTCCACTGTTTCTAAGGAAAATGCGTATGTTACACAACAAAAGACAGACATTCTGTTAGAGGAAAAGGCTCAAAGGCAGCAAGGATTGGACAGCTTTGTGATCAGCATTGCGCGAACCTAACAAAACAGGCAGTTATATGAATGCAAACCTTAAACTTCAGGCACTTGAAAGGCAGAAGGTGCATAAAAGGTTTCAGTTCTTCCCTGTATCTAATTGCTGGGTGCATTGGCAGAGCCAAGAAGGCAGAATTTTCAGCCTCATCAACCACCTTTCTTTCTACTGTACGTGCATGTCAGCTCTCGACCACAATGACACCTTGGCCTTCCTTTAAGACCTGTACTGAAAAAGTGCTCAGGAGAAGGCTCAGAACTGGAAGTTCTGGTTGAAAGCAAGGTACCATCACCTGTCTGGATAAACCAGTTGAGTTCTAGTTCTGAAGTAGCCAGTGATCCCCTGTGCCCCTTACTCCTCTGATTAGAAAACTGAAAATCTCATTCTCCTGCAGTTAACCAAATCATGCAGTATTCTTTGTAAACTCTTATCAAACCCTTACTTGAGTCTGTTTAGGTTTTTTACCTCCACTACTCTACTTGGGAAACTGTTAGAGAATATCACTGCTTCCACAGTTAGAAACCATATTTCCAGCATAAATTTTGTTGTGGCTCGATTTGATCCACTTGTTCTGCCAAGAGTATCCCTTAACATGCAGAATGCCCCTGCCTCCTTAGCATTTTACTTCATCGATACATAATAGAGAGCAGTCATGTCCTCTCTCAGCCCCTAGTTCACTAGTCAGAGCAAGCCACACTCTTCTTGTCTCCTGGGATGGGCTGCCTGTTCTCCCAAGCACTTCTCTGTCCTTCTCTGCACCTCATCAGGTTGGAATTCATCCTTCCTGTGATAGTCCCTTCAATTCAAGAAGCAGAAAAGGTCCCTTCACCTAGTGCTATGCTCTTATCTCTCTGTTTCCCCAGGAAGCTTGTTACCCCCAAATAGTAAGACCATATTTACATTTTTCATCACTGCTTTTCCTTCGTGACTTGTACTCATCCTGCAATCCATATAACTTAGGTGTGTCTCTCCTTTGTTCTTCCCAGCTGAAGTGCTGATAAGGAGAAGACCTTTGTCAGGACTTTGTGGAAGGGCCTTTACCTGAAATGCAGTATCAACTTCCCGAGCTGTTGATGTCTCCTTTCATACCTTTCAAAGTTATGTTGCAGAGAAAATTTGAAAAGAGAGGCTATATTCAGAGATCATTTAGATTTAAAAGCCCACTTAGTTTTCTGGTTACTTCTTTAGTTACCATATTTTTATCCTTAGTCAGATCACTTCCTTCTTTTCTTTCTGGTTTACTATCAGATTCCATTTTATATGAGGAAGTAGAACTGTGAAATGTGCAACCTGCGCTCAATAATGAAGTCTAATATGTTAACATTAAATGATCTAAATTAATTCCCCTCCTAAGACTGTGTACACTTGCTTGTTTTCTACCTTCTAAAAACCTGTTTCGTTCCCAGCCCAGCTGTACATCTCCTTCAGATAGGCAGCTCCTTCTGCTTATTGCTGCTCTGGCCAATGGGCACAGCCCCCCTTCACTGGAAAGCAAATGGTTTTATGCTGAATTAGGATCAACTGAGCAGTTTAGTGCCCCTTGCAGAATACAGTTTTATGAGGCTTTCAAGAAACAGTTATGATTTTTTCCCTGTGCTGCTACTTTTATCACTAGATACGTTTATTGCACCTGTAGCAGTAAATCTGTGAAAATCCATGGAAAATGCAGGAAATGAGTTTAACTGGGCTTTAGAGCCTCTGAAACCAAACTGAGGGGAAGATTGCATTTGAAGTGTTTTGATTCGTTTGCATTTCATTTTTTTATGATGCAGACTCGCGACATCATGACATGCAGGACAGAGAGTTTATAAACAGCTGCATTTATATTCTTACCCTATATGCAAATGTCTTTGTAGTGCATTGAACGGTTCCTAGACCCGTGGAAGCTAGAAATACAGCATGTTAACTTGACATGACTCTGGTGATGCACTCGTAATTCAAGATGTTAATTGTTCAAGGTGTTACTGTAGTAAAACTTAGTGATTTATGATTTTCGTTTTGATACAGACGCTGACCAGATTGTAGCACATCATTCTTAAAATTATCTGCATCCCCCAAATAAAAACTCTCTTTTTACTTCTTTAATCAAGAATGGATTCCAAATATTCCAGTGGATAGGGAAAGGTGTCTGGCCTCTTCAGTGGCTGCATATTTTCCATGCCATAGTATTTAAGTATACAGCTCCGTATCTTCAATCCTTTTTTTAAAATTCTCACCATATTTGTATATTTTATACATTTTTGATGTTCAAAACTTTCCTGGCTATCTGTTCTCATTTCACCACCTTCTTAAGCACAATTAAATTATCTCCTGCTTTGAAAAACAAAGGCCATCAGAGTCCTAAAACTTAACTGTTGATGATGATGATGATGATGATGATGATGATGATGATTATTTTATCCTGTGCTATCACATTGTTCATCTTCGCCCTGTAAATGGTAGATGGCTTTGGAATCAGACAGGAGGATGCGATAGAAATGTGAGATATGCTGCGTAGAGGGATGTCTGGGCATAGCAAGGAGGAAATTTAGTGTTCTCACAGCAGGACTGTCTTTGCCCTGTCACGAGTCTGCAATAGCCGTTCTTTGTCATGGATACACTAACACCAGTGGTCCTGGGAAATTCAAGGCCAGCTCTCGGTGTGTAAGGGGTTGGAACTTTTGTATAACTTTAGTTATTTTTTGCTTAGGAGTTGTTCTTTTTTGCATTTTAGTCTCAGTCTTAGCTTTATTTTTATGTGAATTTTTAAATTTCATATTTTTCATTTGCAAGCCGTATGTTGTGCTTTAGTCATTCTGAGCAAATTGGGTTCTCACTAAGTAATCTAAGCAGTTTATTTTATGTTTTGCACCAGCTAGAGCGTGCATACTGATTGTGTTCTGCACCAGCAGGTTGAGTCACACTATATTATATCATTACCAAGCAAGCCAAGCACAATCAATTATATTCTGCCTTGGCAAAACCATTCATTATTTTATCCAAGATGCAACTATAAAAATTCAGAATTTCTGGATATAGTAGCAATTTCCAAATAAAGAAAATGTGTATTTTTCATCATAAATCAAGGAAGTCATGTATCTTGATTTAGAATCGTGGCAAGTATCTGTGACAAAGGACTTGGCTACACAGATAGACGTGATATTCAAAACCTTTCAGCACTAGAAATCTGAAATGATGCTAGTTGAAACTCCACTTACTGATGCTTACTGAGGCTTCTAAAAATGTTTTTTCAATGTTAATTGGCTCCAATGGAAGGGAGCAGATGACAGCCTTCCCATTACACCAAGAAACAAGCCATAAAAGAGACTGGTTTTTAACATTATGGAGAAGAGAGGGTACAAGTTGGGGACAATAAGTTCCAATTTTACTTTTACCAGCACAGATCCTAAGCAATGCCCATGAATTGGGGGTTTATGTAGGCTTCACTGAGATGAAAATTTGACCCTTACTGGAAACAAAGAAGAAGAATTAGAAGCTTCTAATAAAAGGATGTGCTTTACCATCCTGATACAAATCACTGAAACCAGCGTGAGCTTTTCTGCTGACTTTAGTGGGCTTCAGTTAATTTTCCTAAATTAGAAATGTCTGCCACTCAAAGAATAACCTTAAAAAAAATCAGTTTCATTACTGTGGGGATAAAGAGCATGCCTTATTGTGACTTCACAGTCAGACAGTCCTGGTTTTTGTTCCTGAAGGATGAATACGATGTCTGTGGTTTGGGAGCAGGAGATAGAATTGATTTGGTTTGAGGGAGGATTGTTTGTTT